AAGGAAGGATAATAGTGGCAAATATTTATAGAATGACTATATGCCAGGTAGTATGTACTTTCTTATTTAATCCTTCCACATACTCAATGAGGTAGATACTATTATTAATTTTTCCTAGCTTACAGATGAGGGAACATGCTTAGAAGGGTTTGGTAATATGCCCAATGTAACAAGCCACAGCAACTAAGTGAGGGAGTCTATATTTGAACCAGGTTTGTTTAGCTATATGGTCTTTGCTCCTAATCCATGATGCTATAATGCTGCTCCCAGTAGAGAGTTCTGACCACAGATGAACTGTGGGATTCATCATAAAGAAAAAAAAAGGGGGGGTGGGTGGGAAGGAGAGGATAGAAAGCAGGGGAGAAAGGAAAAGGGAGGAAGAGACCTATCAATACATTCTCCTTTTGCAAGTATCACATCTAACTCATGGCAGAGAGCATGATTTCTGCTTAATTCCTAAACATCTCCAGAAAGGATATGTTTGGTTCTTTGGTAATCTGTTCCAGGTATCGATCTCCATGTGCAAAGATATCCACAGAGAAGACACACATATATGGACTGAAGTTCAGCCAAATCTTAGATTTAGATATATCAGAAAGCCTGATATATCTTAGATTTGGATATATCAGGAAATATGTCTTCCTGTGGGAAAATAGGAAAAGAACAGCAAGAGATATTTGAAGTGTTTCTTAATAATCTTAGCTGCATATATTTGAATAAGACATCACAAACACATATAAATTCTGCAAGGAACTTCAGGAGGTTACTCATCCATTCCCTTGCTTTAGTTAGGATTTTGCCTTGGTCATTCCAGAGATTGTCAGCATCACAGATCACGGAAAAGCTTGCCAGGTCTTCTTACTATAATCAAATAGCTCCTCAAATTCCATTGCCTTCATATAACCTTCCAGAGGCTGAATCTGGCCTAGCATTGTGCCTTTGTATATGAAATGAATTTGGTAAATATTTGTTATTTATTGAATGGGATTATCAGCGTCAACCTACTACTTATATTGTCCTTACCTCTGCCCTCCCTTTGTAATACACTCACGTAAATATTTGTCTAAAGTTGTGGTCCCAAAGCTTGAGACTCTTGAACCCAGTGGTCCTTTATGATGAGCTATTTAAGGAACCTCTGCAAAAATAAATTTTACTAGGATAAGACTCCACCAGTTAAATAAAATGCCAAGGTTTTCTTTTTGCAAATTTGCCTGGAATTATACAAATTCAGTGTGATAATCAGAAGCTCAGCTCCATAGACACGTCTTTGATTTACAAAAAAAAAAAAAGATTACTGCCCAAATAATTCCAATTGTTTGCTAAGCAAAAGTTTCCAAAACATTTCAGGAAAATACGGAGAACGTAATAGAAAGGTTCTCTGAGGGTTAAAGGATAGAAAATTATTGATCTAAATGGTTCTGAATACACGGTACCTTTTGTAGATACTGTTGTTGTTAATTGCCATCAAGTCAGCTCTGACTCATGACAACTTTATGTACAACAGAATGAAACGTTGCCTGGTCCTGTGTCATCTTCATTATCATTTGTTATGTTTTGAGTCCATTTTTGCGGCTATTGTGTCAATCCATTTTATTGAGGGTTTCCTTAATTTTTGCTGACTCCCTACTTTACCAAACATGATGCCCTTTTCTAGCAATTGGTCTTTCCTGATGGCGTGTCCAAAGTAATTTTTCTAGCAATTGGTCTTTCCTGATGACATGTCCAGAGTAAGCGAGCCAAAGTCTCACCATCTTTGCTTCTAGGGAGCATTCTGGTTGTATTTCTTCCAAGACTGATTTCTTCATTCTTCTGGCACTCACAGTGTATTCAATATTCTTTGCCAACACCATGTTTTGAATACACTAATTTTTTGTCTTCCTTTTTTCATTGTCTGGTTTTCACATGCATATAAGATGACTGAAAAAGATCACAGCTTGGGTCAGGTGAACCTAAGTCATCAAAGTGACATCTTTGCTTTTTAAAACTTTAGAAAGGTGTTTTGTAGCATGTTTACCCAGTGCAATACGTCGTTTGGTTTCTTGACTGCTGCTCCCATGGACATTGATTGTTCATTCAAGTAGAATAAAATTGTTGACAGCTTCAGTTGTTCCTCCATTTGTCATGATGTTGTTTATCGGTCCAGTTGCGAAGATTTTTGCTGTCTCCACATTCAGGTATAATCTATACTGAAGGCTGTGGTCTTTGACCTTCATTAGTAAGTGCCTAAAGCTGGTAAGCAAGCTTGCTTTTTATAAATAGATGCTGCAAAATATTCTTATTTCATAATTAAGATAATGATTTTTATATTGCTGTTACTACTTTTGAGAAAAGTAGTCCAATTTCATCAAAATGGGAAAACCAGGCCAGAGGAAAACAACCATCTTCATCTACAAACTGAAAAAATAGCCTTGAGGCTCTACTCTTCAAGTTTTGCCCTTTCTTCAACACAGATCTGCTGGTTCTCTCCCAGGGCCTCTAGAAAAGGAATGCTTCTGTGAATTCATCTTTCCATCATGGAACAGTTTTTCTTCTTGTGAGAATTAGCCAGGATACAACTGACATGACACAAATGATGTGCACTGTGCCAATAACAGATCTACCAACTTCCAGGAAAGCTAAGTTGTCTTCTCGTTGAAATTGTTTTCCATGCATTTCTTCCATTTTGGTCACACCATTGTACTGAGGAACAGCTGGTGCCACACTTCTTGATCAATGGCAAGGTTATAGCCTTGCCTGCTTTGGTGTTTTGAGAGCAGAAATGGGGGAGGGGGAGGAAAGCGTGGTACAAAATGGAGACTATGGGTTCAGTGGCCCTGATTGATACACTTCATTTCCAAAGCATATTTTTAAGGTGTAGAGGGCAATACTCTGTCTTAGGAACACTTAACTATTTATACAAATAGAAAACCTCATGTCCATTCAACACTCCCCACCACTGTTTGCACTAAGGCCCAGGGTCCTCCCCCTCAAAAAGACTCTGTGGTCCGCCTCTCTTAAGGTACCGGCCATTTCACTGCCTCCCTTTTCTATTTCTGTTCCCATCTGCACCTTGTACCTAGGATGCCATTTCTATCTATTCCATCACTCAAGAAATACCTGAAATCAACCCCCTCCAAGAAGCCCCTCTAGAATGCTCAGAAAAAGTTATAATCTCATCCTTGCCTTCCCAAACATTAAACTCCTGATGTCCTCATTGTGTACTAAAATCTCCACCATTTAAATGCATATAATTGGTATTTTATATATTTGCTCTCAGATTCGTATTTGGTGTGTTTTCATATCAGTGATATGTAACATAAGCATTATTTTTTCCAATCTTATTGCTTCTGCATATTTCTTATTACAGTACCATGTGAAAAATGGGTACTTAATAAATTTATCTTAATTTCATAGACCAAGTAGTACCTTTAAATTGCCCTAGGGTGAAAGCCACTACTTTACAAGTAACTTAATAAAACAGCCGTGTGGTGATAAAGAAAAGGTTGGGCAGCATTCACCAAACTGTTCTGTGAATGAACCCTTGCTCCTATACCCTGGTACATGGCTGCACCCTTTAATCTGCTGAGATTAGCTATAGAAATTCTGTGGAAAGGTTCTCAGTGCTTCTTGGTGAGTGCCTTTTATTAATTCCATACCCACTTCCAACCTGGCCTGTCATATGATAAACTGAAACAGTCTCTGACACTGATCTAGCACACCCCTAGTTTCTACCTCTGTCTACCCTGCTTTCCATTAGGATCAGTATCAATGATTAACAGTGGTATCTGGAGACAATTTCTACAAGGTAGAAGATTTAAGTCCAAAATACCTACCTTCCTGGTGGAACCACCAGGTTCTCTGACAAATAATTTGTAAAGTTTTAGTGTAGTATGGACAAACTGTTACAGTGGGTGTTAGGAGAACTGGGTTCTCTTTAGGGTTGTTACCTGGACACAACTCTTCCTTGAATAGAAAAAGAAGACACATTGTGAATTACAGGAAAGCATTTTGAGTGTCAATAGGGCTTCTGTAACAGTTATTATATGTAGACACATTAACAGAATGATTTTTGTCTCCTGGAATCAAGGCACACCATCTTATCATGATGCCAGAGGTCCTCCACTTAATTCAGTTGGCCAGTTACAACATCCACACAACTTGGATTTGATGAAACTATTGCTTTTACAAATGTCTGTAGACCACCCTTTGCTGTATGTAGTCACTACTCTTAGCAAACATGTTATAAATGGGATAAGTGAGTGGTGTGCAGCACCTGAGAAAGCAGTAGCACAAGGAAAGACAATGGAAAAGGAGGGGAAACAGAACAGAGATAGAAATGTGGACATAGTTATCAGCAAAGAAATGCAAGGGAGAAGAAATATGGCTGAGGAAGCTGAGAATGCAGGAAGGAGGGCAGAGAAATAAAAATGATCTCCTATGAATAGTGTGGTCTGATTGTCACAATGTTGATGAGCATTAAAATACTGCCAGGTGCCGGTTTAGATTTAACTTTACATCAGGCTTGCAAGTGAGCACAATATTTTCCCAGCCCATTAAATGCTATTAATAGATGGGGCAAGGTCACACAGGAAAGACGAGACAAGGTTAAAGAATCTCAAGCTTTTTTCTGACTCTAACTTATAAAACCTTAGAAAGAGTACATTAAAAGTAGTTTTTAAAAACAGAATTTAAAAGACTAAGCAATTTGTCTCATGTATTTTGTGTATCTACCAAAAGATTTTCACAAGAAATCCATACTTGCGATGTATATTTCAAAGCTTTTTAAATTTTTGTTTGGTAAATATGGTAGAAAGATTTTATGTGCATGCTCAGTTAAGCCTTGCATAGACTTGGTATAATTCAAACCTTGTGAAAAGTCAAATGTCTCCATGAAAATGGAGTGATTAGTTTCCTATGGAAAATGTCCATGTGTGGAAGAGGAAGTTTTAACTTTCTAAATATTCACCAACAGGACATAACAATAGAAAAAAAAGAGATATTTTTTCATGAAGAGATTTTAACAATAAGTGTGAAAATTAGGGCCTCATTAGTCTGTACAGTATGTAAATTTTAGAAATATTTAATAGACATATATCCATGTATCATGATTTGTGGTTTGGGTTGCAGGTACTCTTTCTTGGCATCTTTTGATTGACAGAATCTCCACATAGCTCAGTTCCTGGAGAGTTTAATGTCTTCTTCTGCCAGCACGCCAATCTATAAGGTTCTAGTGCTTGGATGTCAGAGTGAGTGTTGAAGATACTCGGAAGATCTGGGGAAGCATGTTACTAAGTTGATAAAACATTTCTTCAGAAATACTCTGTAAGAGGTTAAAAAAATGTTGCATTTGTTATATTATCATTTTTTTTTTTTATGTTTAAAAGTATTTTAAAGTATGGAACTAGCTCCAGATATGGACTGCAATATATAAAAACTGTCTTTAATGGCTGATTTAACTGCATCTCAAAGGGCAGGTGGTGTCTTTCTGGCTCCATCCTCTGAGAACCTATAGTGTTTCTATCAAACAGTAAGTTTGATTACTAGAAAAACTCCTAAAGAACATTACTGTAATCAGTAATAAATGTACCACTAATTTTGTTAAGTTCTATAGGGTCGCTATGAGTCGGAATTGACTTGATGGCAACAGGTTTGGTTTGGGTTTATACAGAACAGAGAATCATTCTCTGCTGATGTCTTTATTATGAACTCTTCATAATTTACATACCACAAATGGGGAAAAAAACAAAGGAAAAATGAGTCAGGTTTGGTTTTGGGGTCAAATAAGAGATTCCTTGAGTGTTAGATGATGACATCTTTGACAATAAATTAAGTACCTTTATGGCATTCAAACAATTCTCTCCTTAAAAAATAGGAAGTTGTTAGCATTTTACTGTGTTAGGTTTAGGAGTCTGGGGGCACCGTGCCTAACCGCGTCTGTAAAGAATACTATAACAGAGATTACATTGGGGTGACATCTATTCAGATAACATACCTGTGGTACCAGAAATTGCACTGTCCTAGAAATTCCTCCATCCCATGAAGCCATTTCCATCATGAAACCTAAAATTGAACAACGGAAACACTTTGTATAATAATGAGTTCTGGTCTTCAAACCTACCAGTCGCTTACTGAGATAAGCTGCGTTTTCATTGTGGGGCTTCATGTCTTAAGTTTTTAGATAGCCACTAGCCTTAGGAGAGGCTAAGCCTAAAGGACAGATAGACTTCTGCAATCCCTAATTCCCCATGCCAGAGAGGTTTAACATCGTTTTGACAACACACGCATACTTAGGATTTCTCAAGTCCTTTTTAGTCTCCATACTGTGAAGCTAAAACAAGCTATTACAGGTTAACTAAACATGTGGCTCTGTTTTTTTTTTTCTCCTTATTTCTTTTTAAGACAAAATAAGGCAACAGAGAGCAAGCTAGAATCAGAACAAAGTATAAATAACATTCAAATATCCTTGTATTCTATGAGGGCTGGAGATTTATTTTGTGACAGGAAAAAGATAAGTAAAAAAGCTCCTTTATGAAATACTTGTCATGTGAGGCATCAGATGACAGGAATAACTCTCATATTCTTTCTTCTAGTTAGTTCAACTTTCAATATTTGGGAGGAAGAAATATAGGTAGTTTGTTATTAAATATAAAGCTATGCTCACCTTTGACACACTTAAACACAAGTTCTGCTCTCCTTAAACACCAGGGTATAGTCATTTCCTAAAAACAGAAACAAAACAAATCATATGTTTTTAAGAGAACTTTGTAAAAATAAATAAATAAATAAATACAGTCAGCTCTTAATTTATCTGTAACGCTGACCATCTACTTTGCGAACAGATTCTGGCAACTATTTGCTAATTCCAGCTAGACCCCCTCTGGTTTTTGGGTATACAACTTCTTCCAGCTGTTAGAATGTAAACTAATTAATCTAGCAAATATAATTAACATATAAACATATTCTAAAAATTTTCTGGATAATTTATTCTAAAGACATTTATAAATGATTTAGGAACTCCACCTAACTACTCTCAATATGTTAGCATGAATAATTATACTAAATTGTATACTATTTGCAAAAGCAATACATTAAAATGTTTTTATTATATACCATAGATTATTACAAAAGTAATGGAAATAAACAAACACCCATCCCAGACCCCTAACAAACCAACTGTACTCATTTTTCTATGTCCCCTTTCAATCTTTGACCATAAGCACAAACCTGTGCCAGTGCCAGACTATACTCAGTACATTTATAATTTCCCATGGTTATGGTCAATGACTAGGCCATTCTAAATTGTTTCTTTTCACATCAAAATTATTTTCCCACGTTACAAGCCTTCATAATTATAACTATAGAAAGTTGTTCATTATTTTATTTTTGTGATTCTCAAGCTTTGTGGGTTCCAGGGTCTTTTACACTCTTAAAAATTACTGAAGATTCCAATGAGCTTTTGTTTATGTGGATTATATCTCTTGATATTTACTGCATTAGAAATTAAACATGAGAAATCCATAAAAATATTTATTAATTTCATTTAAAAATAATAACCATTATATGCTAACATAAATAACATATTTTTATGGAAAATAACTACACCTACTCTTCACTTAGCAACTATCTCGTTATCTGACGTTTCATCTTTACACAACAGTAAAAAATCTACTATCTGACTAATTTGCACATTAACGACTTACATCTGGCAGTAACGAATGCAAAAGTGTGAGGCAAGAGTATGCTGGCTGTGATGGTTAAGGTTATGTGTCAGCTTGGCTAGACCGTGATTCTCAGTGGTTTGGCAGTTATGTAATAATGTAATCTGGCAGTTATGTAATGATGCAGTCATCCTCCATTTTCACATAATGCTGATTTTTGCATAACAACCTGGCCTTTGGAACCTAACCATGTCGGTAAGTGAGGAGTGGGTGTCTATTTTCCAAAACAAAATTTTTTAGTGAGAGAGTGACACTGTTTTATATTTCTGCAAATCTCTTTAAGCCTGGCTTAAAAGAAGACGGCTGAATTCTCGTATGTGCTTTTGCATTCAATGTGTTGTGATACCACACGTCATTTAGCCTCTGGAAAACTGTCACTTGCACAAGAATGAGAGAGGAAAAGACAAATAATGTCTTAGTATTATTATGAGAACATGATTAACTTTGTGGTCACCCAGAAAGGGTCTAGAAGCCTTTGGGTGATCTTCAGAACACAATTTAAAAACTACTGTTTTATTGAGTTAATGTATCAACATTTTTTAAAGAGTCCCTTACAGCTAGCTATTTAGGTGATTTCCACTTTTTTTTTTTTGGGTTAATACCACTGAAGTGAACATAGTTATGCAGATTTATACAGATATACATAAATACCTTTTGGAATGATTTCTTGTGATACTTATTTCTATAGATTAATGAAACAAAATTTAGGTTCTTCCCTAAAAGGTTATGCCAATTTACATTAACCATCAGCAATGTAATGCATTATCCAGTTTCACCATATTTTCACCAGCATTTGCGCATTTAAATATTATTTAAAATATTATTGAATAGTTTTACTAATTTAACAGGTTCAAAATGGTATCATCTTGATTTTATTTAAACAGATTTTAGTTTTTAGAACAGTTTTACAGAAAAATTGAGATGACAGTACAGGGAATTCCCATATCCCCCTCAGTTTCCCCTATTATTAACATCTTATATTAATATAGTACGATTAATTACAGTTAGTTCATTTATTACAATTAATAAACCAATATAGTTTACTCAGATTTCCTTAGTTTTTACCCAATGACTTTTTCTGTTCCAAAATCCTATCCAGGATACTACATTACATTTAACTGTCATGTCTCCTCAGGCTCCTCTTGGCCTTTTAATGTCAACTCTATCTGTAGCAATATCCTCCCTTTTTCATTACTAATATTGTTTACATGTGGCATCTTTTTTCTTAATCAGTTTTACCAGTTTTATCAGTCTGTGGGATTTGTTTATTCTCTTGATATTGTGTTTGTTTTCTAATTCATTGATTTTAACTCAAATAATTATATTTTCCCTCCTATGTTCTTTGGATTTATTTTACTCTTATTTTTCTAACTACTTTTAGCTGTCAACCTTTCTTTTTTTCTATGAATTTAAAGCTATAAATGTTCCTCTAAGAACTGCTTTCATTCTAGCTCACCAATTCAGATACATATTATTATCACTTAAAAATATTTTCAAAGTTCCATTTTATGATTTCTTCTTTGGTGCATGTGTTATTTCAAAGAGTGTTTCTTAAACTTTACAAATATGGGCTTTTTCTAGTTATCTTTTGATTATTGATTTCTAGTATAATTACATTGCAGTCACAGAACATAATCTGTGTAATTTAAATACAATGACGTTTGTTCAGTTACCAGTGTATGTTCAATTTTTCTAAATGTCCACTGTGAGCCTGAAAAGTATATATATTTTGCAGGTCCTAGGTACAACATTAATTATGCTGCTCAGATCTTCTGTAACTTTATTGATATGAGTCGGAATCGACTTGACAGCAATGGGTTTGGTTTTTATTCTATCAATTACTCACAGAAGTATGTTAAAACCGCCCACTACGATTGTGGCTTTGTCTATTTCTGCTTATAGGTCTGTTGATTTTTGCTTTATATATTGTTAGGCTATGTTACTAGGTACATATATATTTAGAAACATTTTATCTTCCAGGTGAATTAAACGTTTATCATTTTTAAATGACTCTGTAGTACAGCTTTCTGCCTTGAAGTCTATTTTTCTGATATCAATATAGTTACATTAGTTTTTTTTTTTTTTGCTAACTATTTGCATGAAATATCCTTCTCCATTCCTTTATTTCCAACCTTTTTGTATCTTTGCATTTTAGATGCCTCACTTATAAACAGGATATAGATAAACCTTCCTAAAAAAAATCTAGCCTGATAATCCTCATCTTTCAACTGGAACATCTAGTTAATGTCATTACCAGTATACTTGGGTTTAAATTTATCATTTTATGTTTTTTATTTATACCATCACTTCTATGTTTCATTTTCTTTCTTTCTTTCCTTTGTTTTGGACTAAGTGCTTTATCATTACATTTCTTTCCACTACTGTTTTTATTATTTTATAAGACAATATTCATTTAGATTCACTTGCATATTTATCACTTTATTTGCTTTTCATACATTTCTGCACACCTGCCATTCAATCTAATATCATTTATCTTTTGCCCAAGGTACATCCTTTAGGGTTTCCTTTACTTGCAATTCTGCTGGTGGAAAACTCTCTTGACTTTTGTTTGTTTGAAAATGTCTTTATTTTGCCCTCATTCACAAATGTTTGCTGGGTATAGAATTCTATGTTGGAAATTTTTTCTTTCAGCACTTTGAAAGTATCATTCTAGCTTCTACTATTCTATTCAGTAGTCAGCTGTAAAACATCCTCCAAAGTAATGTCTTTTTTTCTATGCCAGTATTTAAGACTGGTGTCACTATGATGTTTCTTTTTTCTTTTTATTGTACTTCAGGTGAAGGCTTACAGAACAAATAGTTTCTCATGAAACAGTAGTACACATGTTGTTTTATGACATTGGTTAACAACCCCACAACATATTAACCCTCTAACTTCTCAACCTTTTTTTTTGGTGAAAATACACATAGCCAAAGATACACCATTTCAAAAATTTCTACATGCACAGTTCAGTGACATTGACTATGCTCTTCTGATTGTGCTGTTATTCTCACTTTAGATGAAGGCTTACAGAACAAAATAGTTTCTCATTTAACAGTTACTACAAATGTTGCCCTACGACAATGGTTAACAATCTCACAACACATCAACAATATCCTTACTCAACCTTGGGTTCCCTATCACCAGCTTCCTTGTCCCCTTCTGTCTTCTGGCCCTTGTCACTGGACTACTGTACCTCATTAGTCCCATTTGGTTTTACGGGGCTGTCCATTCCCAGGCTGAACGGTGAACCTCGGAGATAACTTCACCATTGAGCTAAAAGGGTGTCTGGGGGCCATACTCTTGGGGTTTTTCCAGTCTCTTTTAGGCCAGTAAATCTGTTTTTTTTTTTGTGAGTTAGAATTATGTTCTACATCCTTCTCCAGCTCTGTCCAGAACCCTCTGTTGTGATCCTGGTCAGAGCAGTCAGTGGTGGTAGCCGGGCACCAACTATGATGTTTCCTGACACAGGTTTCTGTTTATTTATCCTGATTAAGATTAGCTAAGCTTCTTGAATCTATGGATTGGTATTTTTCATCAGTTTTGAAAAATCTCAGCCATTACCTCTCTAAGTATTGCCTACCTTTGACTTTCTCCAATTAAACATATGTTAGACCATCTCAAATACTATGTGCTTTATGTCTCTTACCACCTTTTTGTATCTAGGTCCTACATTCTGGATCATTTCTTTCAGTACACTAATTCTCTCTTCAACCATAACTAATCTAATATTAAAATATTTCATGGACTTCTTTAATTTTGGTCATTGTATTTTAGATTTAGAAAGTCTAGTTGTTCTGTTTATAATTTGCTAGATCACTTTTTTAAAAATCAGCTTTATTGAGGTATAATTTAAATAAGATAAAATTCACCAATTTTAAGTGTACAGTTTGACATGTTTTGACAAATGTATTCAGTTATATAACTACCAACACAATCAAGATACAGAATATTTCCATCACTCCAAAAGGTTTCCTTGTGTCCTTCTGCAGTTAATCTCC